TTGCTGCCTTACTAAAGTGTGAAAAGAACTGCGGAAAATTGCTGAGTAAAGCACTGAATATTAGTAGTCAGCAGCTCTTTCCAGGTCATTTCTGCTCAAATTCAAAACTGACAATGATGAAAAATTGTAAAAAATTTTTTGCGAAAAACCAAAAAGATGTTAAATTACAAAGCTGAAACAGTAAACGGAATGTTATTCATACAAGTAACATTTACAAGTATAACATTCGGGGAAGTACGGGCAAAGATACAAACGGCACACAACTACGCACAGGATGCTCCCTCCCTCAGCTGTTTCGGCTTCTTTTTTGTAGACAGAAAAATTTATGAGTGATCATTATTAACTGATAAAATACGTAAAAAAAACTATTTCTTTTTTTGTACATACAACAACCAGTTTTTTAGGACCAGTAAGAAAAAAAAGCAAACAAAGCAACTACTAACACCTAAACTATTTTGGTTATAGCTGTTTGTTCCCAACTCTCTTCTGTTTCCCTTCCCCCCTCTTCCATCCCCAGCTTCCATTCTTTCCTTCATTTCCGTCATACTCGCCCGTTCGACAACGTTCAACGAGTCGAGGCTGTAAATTCTTTTATTTCTTGTAATAGCCTAATATCCTTTCAACTGCCTTATACCTTCCCTCGGTTTTGTTTATAGCTATAGTTTGATAATGGTGTACCTCATTCGCCCCTTCCTATTACCCGCACACGGGCAACACTGTTTTACTAAGCTACAGTCGGCGTATTGGATTTCATTTCAAAACAGTTCCTATGCACCAACGAGATTATTTTAAAAGCAGAAAAAACAGCAGAAATTTCTCACTGTTAATGACAATGATAATGATATATAAATCTTAATGATTAAACTTTTTTCTTTTTATTCATTTCTTACATCTATCTTGGCTTAATTTTCTCGTTTCTTTGCTGCAGATCTAATGATGACTGAAATGTGGCAAACTTTTTTATTGCCAGTTTTCTCGGCACATAAAGAAAACTAATTCTTCCTTCTTTCTCAGTTTTTCATTTTTGCATGTTCAGACTTTAATAGTTAGGTAAAATTGAATTATTACGTTTAAAAATATCATATTTAAAGAACGGAAAAAAGTTTTTGTTTTTGCACTTTTTTTCCACTCTTT